GTTATTTATTTTACAATTTTATTTATTTTAGCAAACGTTTACAATATTTTGAATAACAGTTTTTTTTACATAACTCTGTGTGTGCGTGTGCGTGTCGTGTGCGTGTGCGTGTGCGCGTGTGTGTGTGTGTGTGTGGATAGGTGACGATTGGTTGTGAAATGCGGATGGGTGGGTAGGTGTTGAGAGATTATCCAAGACAACCAACGACGCTTGCAGAACTCGAAAGAATTCTTCAAGAGATTTGGCAGGAAATTCCTCAAGAAATCAGTAGATCTCAGTAGATATCAGTATGAGAAATAGACTGCTTGAAGTGATACGCCGAAGGGGCGGGAATACCTCATACTGAGTAGTATGCGCACATACACCTACCCACCCATCCGCATTTCACAACCAATCGTCACCTATCCATACACATACTCACATACTCACACATACATATACACACACAGCTACACGCACGCACGCACGCACGCACGCACGCACGCACGCACGCACGCACGCACGCACGCACGCACGCACGCACGCACGCACGCACGCACGCACGCACGCACGCACGCACGCACGCACGCACGCACGCACGCACGCACGCACGCACGCACGCACGCACGCACGCACGCAATATCTTATTTTTTGAAAGATTTGTCGACTTCTCGAAAAAGATAGATTAATTCTCATGTGATTTCCACGTAATGAGTGTTTATTTTAATAAATTTTCAATAGTTTTAATGCAAACGTTACAAGTTATCACTGACACGGATCAAATAATTAGATAATTCTTTTTTTTTACAAACCGTGTCACTTCAATATTTCACACTCAATTCACATACAAATTATGCACTTGAAGAAATTACGAGAAATCTTCTAATATATTTACTTAATATCGGTACTTTACAATCACTGACGATTAATTATCCGTCCACTGAAAAATCACACGAAGAAAGAAACACACGGCGATTTATTAACACGCGACCCGTTCACTCGACGATAGCAAGCAGTCGACTGACTTTAATATCGAATGTATTAAGGGGTAACACCACTGTAACAGCCCAAAAAATTGCACTTTTTCGACATTTTTTTTTTAATGGAAGGAAATGAAATAAAGTATTAATACTCCGTGAAGTTAATAAGCATATATTGAAGTACTTGTAAAAATTTTTTACATAAAATAATATTACAAAATGCGGAATGGCAGCCATATTCCCGATGCTCCTTTAAAATAAAGGGTACCGCGGCAAGCAGTGTAGCCGTTGGAAATTTGAACAGAG